GACATCAGTTATCTAAATCAGTGGTTCCCAACCTTTTTCTTTAAGGGATCCCTTTGCTTTCATTGATAACACTGACACGTAAGTGACATGCTTTATGGATATTTAATGTTATATTCAATGCATACTAATAACAATACAGGACAATGTATACGCTGTACGTATAATCCAAAGAGTAAACACAGCAACTGCAGGACGTTTATGTAAAATGAGCAATTTGATGAATTTTGAGTAGCAACTTTTTACACAACTATCTGTCTGTGTTATGTTTTTTCTAACAATCATATACACTCAATATGCCACTGTCACAATACATCAGACATCTTTGTTTCACTCGCATGCCTCCACGTAGAACGGAGAATCCAAAAACTGAGAGAATTGAAGACTGAAGACATAAGGGTCGACATTTAACAACAGCAAAACAATATCAAAACATCTGTTTACAAACTCTCACACAACTCATGCAGTATAATCCAAGTCTCGTTTATTCAGTCATACGCTCAGTACTTCCTGAACAGCCAACCCTTTCCAGTGGGAAACTAAACTGTAAGCCAGACTCCATTCACAAAAACGGTAATTTTACCTCTCTGTACACAGAGAGTTAGTTTGTTTGTGTGACTTGATGAAGCTGAACGAACCCTATAAACTATCTGATCGAGGCAGTGGTAGACCAGCAACTCCTGTGTTCAGTGAGGTAAAATTGCTGTTTTTGTCAGTGGAGTCTGGCTTGAAAGAGAGTATGTACCTGGAATGAGACTCGGATTATACTGCACGAGTTGTGAGAGTTTGTTAACTGATGTTTTGATATAGTTTTGCTGTCGTTCATCATGACTTCCTTTTACTCCAATTAATCCAGAATTTTCTCAGTTTTGGATTTTTCGTTTATTCTTCAAGTGCAAGAAAAACGGTTTTTCATGAATTCAGCATAACATGCCGAGTAACTGACACACAAATGGTCATTTGAGGGTTGAAGTATTGATGACATGATACGATGACATACCACAAACAATTCCACAGAGAGTCAGTTAACATTCACATGAATTGTTGCCTCCTCGCAGCATGTGAGCAAAGTAAAACATGGCATGTAGTGAAACATTTTCATTATGAAGCAGTTTACTCTCTGATAACCTCGGGCATCCACAGCTGAGCAGGAGACAGAGCACAGAGCTTGTTTTCAGGTCAGCAGGGTCACCGCAGAGGGCTTTCAGATCACTCCGGGGTGTTTTTATGGAAAACGTCAAGGTGTCTCTGGGTTACAGATAAACACACTGACTCTCCTGGGGACCTGTCAGAGCACTCAGAGTAGCAGCGCTGCAAGAAATCACTTTACATATGAAGGAGTTTGATCAGCAGCAGGCTGAGCCTCAGTTAAATCTCCCCGACCTTTAGTTGGCTGCCATCAGCAGTTGAGCTATGTCTTTTTTGAGTGAAACAGACTGAAGTTGGCTTCTGGCTACACTACAAAGCAAACTTGGAGCGTGCTCAGCCTAAGCAGCCTCCTGTCTGACACGAGGGTCAGGCAGAGTGTGTTCAGTAAAGCAGCCAGGTCAAGGACAAGCCCAGAAATGTCTGCCAGGTAGAAGACTGACAGATGTGTTAGTCTGCCAAAGTAAAGGCTTAGTATTAATCCTGTACATTTTTGTTGGATTCTGCTACAGATGTGTGAAATGTTATCTCAGGCCAAGGCTGTGTTGTTGATCTTCTGACCACACTGTTGTTTTAATGCTGTCATTTCTTATTCTGAAAGTAACTGCGTAGATCTGGTCTGATGAGTTTGTGATGGTGTTTTCCAGCAGAGATTCTGACCTTGATCGCCCTCCCCATGTGCTTTGAGTTAATAGAGACAAGAGTATCAGTGCAAAGAGGGTGTGTGTGTGTGTGTGTGTGTGTGTGTGTGTGTGTGTGAGAGAGAGAGTCCACCTAAAGAGAGTTCACCAAAATTTTACAGCTTATGGATTAGTGTATCTATTGATTATTATTCCAGTCCAGTGTCGTCTTTTTGACTCTTGTATTGAGTCCATTTTTCCATTTTCTCTCTAGTTGTGCTTCTTGTAGTCGCAGTATGTGTGTGTCAAAGATTTACCCATTTACCCTAGTTCCCAGTGATACCTTTCTTGCTTGCCACTAGCAATATTTTGATCCAATATCTGTCACGAACATTTTCTTCAGAAACACACAGCAACTCAGTGTTGGATGTTAAACGCTGCTGCAGGCCTATGGCGAGTAGGAACGAGATGACATTGTGCTGTGTTAGCTTGTGCTTAACCAGGCAGAGAGAGCAGGAGGAGAGCCTTGTGTGGGGGCGGTCCTTCAGCACCCCGTCAAACGGTAGCAACAGCTGATCGATGGTGATCAGCTGTTGCTACCCCCCAATCCTCCCACCATCACAAGTAGATTCTTATTCGGTGGAAATCACATGATATTTCGCTCTGAATCCTGAGAAAACATCACAACTATTTTTGCAATTTCACCTGCCCCCCCAAATTAATCAGAATAAAAGCATATAAAACATTGCAGCATTTATAGCATTTTTTTTTTTTTTTTTTTTTTTTAGAAAAGCTGCCATGAAACAAACATTTCAGGCCGCAACAATCACAAAATCAGCCTGTGAAATACCTAAAATGGACCTAAAATCATTTCCATATTTCATGCTAAAGTTTTGCTACAATGCCTGTCACAGGGCATTTTAAACAACTTGGAGAAAGTCATGGAATTGGGGTAAAATATTTGGGAAAAGTTGTGGAAAAGTTTTTAAAATTCATTGGTAAAAATGTGTGGGAACTCTGAAACAAGCAAACAGCTCCTTTTAAACTTTCCCCCCTCGTCCATGTATGAAGTGTAACGTGAGAGCTGAGCGTCTCCCTATGTGTAACCTGAGCAGGTGTGAGGGGGACCTGGGAGATTAGTCCAGCTACTGGCCAATGTTTAGAGGATGAAAGTCACAGTATCAGGTTGCATTAATGCCCATTGTTTTGCTGCAGGTAATAGCATTGCATTAGTAAACAGCCCATTGTCCTGATCATCCTGCTTTTCTTTCTCAGGCTGCGGCTCCGATGTGGTGCTTCACATTCACCTCACACCCCAAACATTTCTGTAACCCAGCTGCTCTCATGGCATCACATCACTGCTGTAATGGAAAGGTTGTTTGTTTGAGTTCACCTTAATGATGTATCACCACAAGAACGTCAGAGTGGAAATTTAAAGGTCTCGTCAGTGGTGCCCGTGGAGCTCAGCAGGCCACCCCTCATGATGGAAGTTGCTTTTCCATTACATGTGTTGGCACACACAGTTTCTGCAGTGACACATGCTGGACTTCATTTATCAGGGCAGATGTTGAAGAGTACTTGAAGTGAAGGCTGCACAATGACAGAAATGTAAATCATGATTATTTTGATCAATCATAAGAACTATATCATAGGTAACTGGACCTGCTTGAGTTTCCTGAAGACGTTTCAAGTCTCATTTGCATCAAAATAACTCATAGGTTTTGTTTGCACCTGAATTAAGTGCCTGTCCTATGGTTCGGTATCTGCTGCTGTGTTTTTATTGCTTTATTTTTTAACAGTGATCACAGTACTGTGACACGCTGCAGCTTGCTGTCATGGATGTCTGAGCTGACGCTGGACAGAGACGGGGATTAACTGAGGTGACGTTAGCGACATTACTCTTCTTGGCCTTTATGTGTTCATCGTGCTGCAGGTTGTGGTGTTTTGTAATGTGGTTTAACAAGTTAGTTGTGTTGCTCTGCAGCACACACAAGTCTCTTCAACTCGTTTGCATATGATTTGTTCTCTCCTATATCCACAGTTACAAAGTGCTTTACAAAACCAAATAAAAGACGAAGGCAATTTTTCAGAAGTGATTTAAAAGATGAGACAGAGTTTGCAGCCCTGATCTCAGACAGGTGACTCCAAAGTCATGGAGCTCTGACCACAAAGGCTCTGTCACCTTTGAGAATTAATCTCAACCTCAGAACAACAAGAAAAGATTCATCTGAGGATCCCAAGGTGTGAGAGGGAACATAGAGCAATAAAATATCTGTTATATCGCTTGGAGCGAGGCCTCTCAGGGCTTTGTATGCCATCAATAAAATCTTAAAATCAATTCAAAAAGCAACAGATAACAGATGATTGTGATGTGGTCATGTTTTGTGGTCTGAGTTCAGATTCTGGCAGCAGAGTTTTGGAGGATTTTCGTTTTGACGGCCTGCAGTTGCATCAATCAGGAAAGTTTTTCACAGGATGCATGCACAGCCACATGACAGTTCCTCAAAAGTGGAAGGTGGCTTTTAGTTTAGGAGGGTGACGGTGACTCAGAGGTAGAGCTGATTGTCCACTAATCGCAGGATAGGTAGTTCAATCCTCGGCTCCTCCTGTCCACATGTCAAAGTATCCTTGGGCAAGATACCGAACCCCAGATTGCTCCCAGTGTGTGCGGATGCGTGTGAATGTTACTGAGCAGCAGATGGCACCTTGTATGGTGGACTTGGCCACCTGTGTGTTAATGGGTGAATGTGTCGGAAGACTAGAAAAGCGCTATACAAGTGCAGTTCATTTACCATTTTCCATGAGTGGGGCACATTTTAAATGTCAATATCGCAGTCGATCGTGTTCATGTAATTGTGGGAAGCCAAAATTGTGATTGTGATCAATATTCGATTCACTACGTAGCCCTACTTGAAGTGGTAATGTCAGCTGAGACTGTGACTGTTTCGCCTTCTGAACAGCAGCTGGGTGACTCCATATTATTGGCAACAAGTTTCAAGCCATTGCACAGAATCTGAGGAGGAGAGTGTAGGTTAAATATAAGATAAGATAGATAAATATTGATGCTCAGAGGGGACTTGGCTCTTGCAGCTGCACCAAGGGGGGAATACTAATGGCGAAAGTAAAAAAACAACAACCAACAGTTAGATTTGTTTGTGTGTTTCTCTGTTTTTTTGTTGTCCATTTGCTTTTGCTGTTTCTTTTCTGACCTGCTCCGTCTCTCTCTCTCTCTGACAGCGGTGTCCAACCTGGATGTGGAGAGTAAGCTGACAGCACATTACCAAGCTCCCTGGCACCAGCAGAGGAACGTTTTCCACCCCTCCACACGGCCAGCATGTGTTGTAGACCTCCACAGGCAAGCCAACCTCAGCCTGTGGGCCGCGCACCGAGGTGAGGCCCCCCTCTGACGCTCAGTCTGACCGCAGTGCAGCAGCAAAGCCAAACAGCTGCTCCAAACTTTCCCTCCCTCTCTTTCTTTCCTTCCCAATTAACCCACTCAACTTTTTATTTGACATGTCATTTAAAAACATGTTCTTGTTTTATTTGTGTTACTGAAAAAGTCCTCATACTTCCCACCACAGAGGTCTGCTTCTGTTATTACTCTGGTGTTGTTCTGCCTCCTAGTGGACGTAGATTGCAACTGCACCCTGGCTGTCAGAGCAGCAGAGGAAAGTGTGAGAGTAGATGACATAATCTAAATCAGATCATTATAAGCTTCACAAAGGCAGTGTTCATCGCAGGCCTGTTGTGTTTTTCGCTTTGTTTTGCACTGTGTGCAATCTCTGTTCCTGTACCTTGTTTCTCCAGTTAACGGATAGATTCACATTTTTTCTCCTGTCCATGTGGATATTGTTTGAGACAGACTTGTGAATAGGCTCTGGCGGTACCTCCAAGACTTGCAAGTTACCTTAGCTTTTTCAGTCTAACAAATAAACAACGTAAAGTCACAAGCAGACAATAAAGGTAATATTCTTACACGTATTCTCAGAGAAATACAACAGTACACCGTCTGAATTCAGGTTTCTCTCTTTCAGTGATTGAAGACCGACATTAGCTAATAAATTAGTCGTCTAGTAAGTGAGTTAGTCCACTGTTCCAACAATCACCAGCTGTGGTTTGGTTGAAATAAACCTTTAATTCGTCAGGTCATCATGTCAAAATACGCTGACTTTACCACGGTCTTTCTCGGTCGTTAGTAGCAGACTGTCTACAGTCCTGTGACGTTATCCCCAGTCATCCCCAGACCTCTGATGCCGTGTGATGTGTGTCATATACACTACATCCTCAAACCAACACCTCAGTGGGTCTAATTGAAAGATGAGCATTTGTATTTTGACAGTACTTAAAATCACACCGTCGGGATTTCGTAATACCTTGGTGAGTAAATTGGGTGCAAAAGTCCTAAAGCCGAGTGTCCACATTTATCTGACTTGTAGACGACATGCTAAAAGACATTAAAACATAGATATTACAATTATGGCACCATGCATCTCCATCAGGAATCAGGATTTATGTACAATTTCTGTCCAGTGTAATTACACCTGACTTCTACAGGTAGGCTGAGATTACAATCAAGTCTCCATACATAAAGTCTTCTGCAAAAGCAAGATTGTACTTGCTACCACATCCTTCTTTGTAGGTGCTTGTCACAATCTTGAGCCAGTCCTTCTTGCCCCACATAATACTGTGATACCGCCTAAGCCTAACTATGATCCAGATATATGTATGTGTGTGAGTATTTGGAGGTTACACGCAGATCGATTCTCATTTCAGATCACCAGAGGAGACGATCCGGCAGCAGGGAGCAGAGAGTGACCATCTCGATCTCTGCGATGCCCCCCATGCCCATGTACCCTTCCCCACACATCGTCCAAAGGAACGACAAGAGAGGCCAAAGTTTGACAACGGTGAGATGCATAACGTTACACAAGAACAGTGTTTCTTGAAAACGTTGTACATGTTTAAAGGGGACCTATTATGCTTTTCTCTATTTTCTCTATCTATATACAAATGAACAAATGTCGGATATTCATATTAAAGTTTTGAATAATTAGGTAAATGTCTGTAAAAGTAACCTCTTTTTTTGATTTTTCTACTGATTTTTTTATATGGTCATCGGCTCCAGGCACATTTGTGTTTGTGTTTGCATTACATACACTGCTACATGTAGCTACACGCTAACGTCAGAGAAACATGTAAACTTGCTTGGCGAGTTTGTTAATTTCTCCCCAGTTTCAGATAATATTCCTGGAACAGAGCCTGGAAATCCAGAACCAAATCTATAAAGATTTAGGGTCTGGCTATGAGTAATGCAAATGGCCCAACTCAAGGGGCGGCACCAAGCATGCATTTGTAAATATCACTGCACGTAATTGGATAACACTACGACCAATCAGAACAATACACGGGGTGATGTATATGCGTAGCTACCAGCGGAGATAACTGGTAGATTAGACTCTTGCCATATCCGGTCGGCAAAACAGCAAAAATGTCCTTCTTGCAAAGGAAAGATTCGAGCGCCGTCTTCTGTTCCTCTTTTAGAGAAAAGCCAAGTCTAACTCATTCATTGTAGCAGTCAAAGCCGTTTCAAACAACTGGTGTTCATCCGCAGCCATCTTGCAATGTTTACTGACTGATTCCGGACTTCGTCGTCGCAGCACTGTCGTCATCTGTTTAGCTCGCCTCTGGCCCGCCTATATCAGATACACAGATGTGAATGGTGCAGCTAAGATACAAAAGCATAGGTAATGAGCATCATTACTGATTGCCAGAGTGACTCGCTGAGCAAATTCAAATTGTGCTCTCACGAGAACTCTGGATTTCCAGGGTAACTGCAACATGTCAGTTGCACAGATTTTGGTTTAGAAACTTTAATTGGAGATTTTTCATATTAGAAAGTGCCACTATACTCCGTTACAGTCATTCCCCTGGCTGCAATGTCGATGCAGTGACACCAAGATGCAAAAGACCTGGAAATATTGACCAATCAGAGCAGACTGGGCTTTTTGAGGCGTATGACTCTGCTTAAACAAAGCGTTTCAGACAGAGGGTGAACACAGGTGCTCCAGCACAGACAGTATGAGGAAAAGAAAGTGTTTTTTGAACATTAAAGCTTGTAAACGTGTTCTAGTAGAAACCCAAAATACAAGTATGAACCTGAACATGAGCAGAATAGGTCCCCTTTAATCTAAAATGTTTTGAAACGAGGGAAGCAGTTAATACGTTGATAAGATCGACAGACATTTTGGTTCGCCACTTAATGAATTGAACCATTTCCTGTTCATTATTATATTGATATGTTACTGTTAATGACCATATTAAATTGTCATAATATTTTAAGAGTTCCTTTTCTTGTCAAGCATGTTATTTTTTATTTTTATTTATTTCTAGAGTTTATTTCCTTTTTTAAAATTGTATTTTATAGAGATGACTTTGCAGTGCACTGATTTATAAGTGAAATGCACATTTTCTCCCTCCAAGCAGCCAGAGAGACTTGTTAGAGACGCAGCCACACAGTTGGCACACTCACAGGTAAAGAAGGAGGTGGAACGTGTTCGTAACCTGTTTCATGTGGTCTGTGCAGAGCATGGTTGTTTAAATTTTCATTTAACAGCCATGACTTTATATTTATGTTGAGAATATGAGAATAAATGTTGCATAAATCTTTCAGGAAGGTTTTTTCATCTCATCAACGTGCGCTGACTGAAATATCCTCACCAAGGTTACCCCCAGTGTTGCTGTCTTTTTTGTCCATGTGTGTGTTTATGTTGAATATCTCCATGTTCATTTATGTCATGTGGTTTTGTTGTCCTTTTTTGTTTCGCCCTGTACTTCAGTTTGAATCCACCCGCTCCTCCTCCCCTACCGAATGTTGCCACTTCTCTCCCTGGAGCAGAAAGGTAGTGGTCCTCCCTCCCTCCCTCCTGGCTCCTGCGTGCTCCTTCTAACACTTTATTCTCAACTCCTTACCTGTTCTTGTTTGTTTGACTCCTTCTAATTTACATAATGAGTCTCTTTAAATGCATGCCCACTTAATGCAGCCTTTCTCCGACAGTTGTTAGCATCCTGCTCTAACCAGTCAGGAACATGGTGTAACGTGTTTGTAGTGAAACTGAAGCAGAGAACCACTTTAAAGTTTCATCCCCGCCGACACGTCATATATTGACGCACTCAGACAGCAGTCCATGTGAAGGGCCGGGCTGTGCAGTATGTGAGGAATGTGTGTGTGAGGGCCATAGTCACAGCCGCCCAGCAGCCGGGGTTTCTCTAATGATAGGGTCGACTTCTCCAAGCTTGCGCCTGTGATTACCCATGATCCCTCAGTGCTGCGGTTTCCTCACTGCACCCATCTCTGAGAGGGCTGACATCCTCATGTTTCTGCAGCTTTTTTTTTTCACCAAATATATCGTGCCTGATGCCCGCTGTGAGAGCGAAATGAGTCCGTGGACAAACACCAAACACTGCCACTCCTTTTTTCCCCTCTCATCCTGTACGTGTCCACTCTTCCTCCCTTTTCTTCACCGTCTCTTTCTCCTCCTCTTTCATCCTTCCTCTTCTAAAAACCGCCTCTCTGTTCTTGAAACAAATCAGCTGTAAATGCTTCTCCTTTTCTTTTTTTTTTTTCTACTAGTTGCGAGAAGTTTCCAAGGAAACCGGTTTCTTTTGTGGTCGGGGTTTTTGTCGGGGTCTCATTGGTCTGCCGGGAACAGAGAGCACAAAGGCTCAAGAGCTGGCTTTAAATGGGGGTGGGAGGTTGTCGGGTTGTGGAGGTGGGAACCAGTTGAGCCTGAGAATCACTCCCAGTTTCACATGTGTCTCTCTGTAGGAATCTCAAGGTAAGAACTTAATAGTCTAAATTGATTTATCACAGTGGTGTAAGTAAGAGGGGATCTAGAGTATTTAAGTTTGAAAGTCTGAGGAGGCCCATGGAAAAAGGATCTGGAGTTCTGGAGGAGTCAGAGGGGAGGACTGTGCAGTGATTGATACTGAAGCTGCCGTTCACAGGAATGCTACTGCAAAGTATTTCCTCTCAAATATTTCCGGAGACTTGGTATTACGCAGGAGAGTCACTTGAGGAGCCACAGATTTTCGGAGCATGAGCTAAGAGTTCCCAAAGCAGCATGTTGTGACTGGAAATTACTGTTTGTCACATTTCTGTCCCGTGCAGTAGCCGTTAAGTGAAGGTCTATTTTCCCCAGAGCTGAATTAGTATTTATCACGACATGTGCTGTACAGTGTGTGCCAAACTTTTTATTGGTCTGACATTTTTGGAAGCCTGGATACAGTCAGTGCTGTTAACTTTATTTGAAGGTATAACAATGTTTCCTGGTTTTACCATGTTTTAAATTCTAAATTTCTCCTTTGTGCACTTATTTTTTGCATGAAACCTGCTGAGTAGATTATTTGATTGTTTCTTGTGCTTTCCATTTCTGTCTCTCTCTAAAGCATGCTTTTTATTTACATTACTTAAAGGAATATATCACCCAAAAATAAGATCATTTGTATATCAAGTAGTCATCCTGTGTTGTGTTGAATTTGTGAAGAAAACTATGTTTTTCTCGCATGCCTCCAGGGTGAACGAAGAATCAAAAAAAAAAAAAGATTTTCCGCATTTAACAACATCAAAACTGCATCAAAACATCTACTTACAAACTATATAATCCAAGTCTCTTTTATGCAGTTTTATGCTCAGTACTTCCCAAATAGCCACTCCTTTCTGATGGGACACTTAACTAAAAGTAAAACTTAATTTAACCTCTCTTCAAACCAGACTCCGCTGACAAAAACAGTAATTTTACGACGCAGAACACAGGAGCTGCTGGTCTACCACTGCCTCAAATGGTCGCTTTTGTTTGTGTTATTGTGTGACTTCGGGGTTTTAAAGGGTTAGTTCAGATCCACCAAAGTCACACAATAACAAAAACAAGCTGCTGATGGAGGCAGCGGTCAACCAGCAGCTCCCGTGTTTACCAACATAAAATTACTGTTTTTGTCAATGGAGTGTGGCTTTGAAGAGAGCATAAATTAAGTTTCTCTTCCCGCTCAGTTCCCCATCATACAGGGCTGTCTGAGCATACGATTGGAAAAATGAGGCTTGGATTATACTGCAGAGTTTGTAAAGTGATATTTTGATATAGTTTGCTGTTGGTAAACGTGGACCCCTATGTCTTCAGTTTATAAAGAAATTTCCAAGCTTTTGGATTCTTTGTTCACCATGGAGGCATGTGAGAAAAATAAAGTTTTCCCCACAAATTCATTGTATCACAAGTTGAGTAATTGCTATACAAATAATTATTTTGTGGGTGAAGTATTCCTTTAATGGATCAAACATGAAACTCAGCTCCTGGAAGGGCATGTGTATTGATTTGCCTCCGCTCTGACAGTAAGCAGTCTTTGCAGCAGATTAATAAGACACTAATCTCTCCATCTAGTGTTCATCTCTTTCCCAGATAGACACTTTGACAATACAAACCCTGACTTTAATCACTGTACTCTACACATACCCCTTCCTGAAACCGAGTTTGGTCATTTTTTTACTCTGCCTTACCATTTCTCACGTAATGCCACCTAACCTTAACAACCTAACCATGCAAATATCCATCTGTTGCAGGCTGCGCCCTCTGACCCTGACACTGACGGGGTGGCTTTAGGTCACCGGCCTAAGTTTCCCATCCCTAACATCCCCTCCACCCTGGACAAGCAGACTAACTGGTCTAAAGCCCTGCCGCTGCCCACCCCAGAGGAAAGAATGAAAACCAATTCACAAGTCATCACCTCATGCGTCATCCCCATTAATGTGACTGGTAAATTTACAGCGTTCTGTTTCATGTCTGAATCTGTGTATTGTGACAGGACTGAGCGATGGTGCAGAGATCCTGAACTTCTTTGTTAGGAGAGATTGTCACTCTGTTCCTTAGCAGCTTTCTTTAGCTCTTCTTAAGGGAATAGTTGGACTGTTTGGGAAATGTGCTCGCCTTCTTGCTCCTTGGGAGTTAGATGAGATGATTGACAGCACTCTCATGGTCTGTTAAATATAAGCCTTCAGCCAGAGGACGGTTAGCTCATCTTAGCATAAAGATTGTGTCTATTTGCACACAGGTAAGAATAATCACACTGCAGCTACTCTGCTATTTACACCCATCCCTATGTATCTCATTGAGTGCTGTGATTGGCTGGTACTCATCATGTTGACGTGTCCAGGTTGGAAGTGGTTAGGATGAGGGCAAAAAGGTCATGGTTAGAGCGAGTACTAGCCAGTCTCAAATATTCTCTGAAATTAAAAATTATGCGCTGAGTGTTTGTTTGATACTGAAAATGCTAAAATAAAGGTTTAAAATAAGATATAACACGCTGATAATGAGCTTTAGACATGCTGGTGTGTGTGTGTTTAAAAATTTGATAGCACCAGGCTAGCTGCAGGGTGTTTCCCTTAGTTTCCAGTCTTTATGCTAAGCAAAGCTAATCTTCTCAGCTAAATGTTAGCAAGAAGGGGAATAAGTATATTTTAAAACATTTGAGAGTGCCAGGCTAGCTGTTTCCCTCTGTTCCCAGTCTTTATGCTAAGCTAAGCTAACTGTCACCAAGCCATAGTGTATTATTTAGAGCACAGACATGAGAGTGGTATCGATCTTCTCAGCTAACTGTTAGCAAGAAGGCGAATTAGTGTATTTTAAAACATTTGGTAGTGCCAGGCTATCTGTTTCCCTCTGTTTCCAGTCTTTATGCTAAGCTAAGCTAACTGTCACCTAGCCATAGCATCTCATTTAGTGCACAGACATGAGAATGGTATGGATCCTCTCAGCTAGCTGTCAGCAAGAAGGCGAATAAGTGTCTTATAAAACATTTGAGAGTGCTAGGCTAGCTGTTTCCCTCTGTTTGCAGTCTTTATGCTAAGCTAAGCTAACTGTCACCTATAGCATCTATTTAGTGCACAGACATGAGAGTGGTGTGGATCTTCTCAGCTAGCTGTTAGCAAGAAGGCGAATTAGTGTATTTTTAAACATTTGAGAGTGCCAGGCTAGCTGTTTCCCTCTGTTCCCAGTCTTTATGCTAAGCTAACTGTCACCCAGCTATAGCGTCTCACTTGGTGCACAGACATGAGAGTGGTATCGATTTTCTCAGCTAACTGTTAGCAAGAAGGCGAATTAGTGTATTTTAAAACATTTCGTAGTGCCAGGCTAGCTGTTTCCCTCTGTTTGCAGTCTTTATGCTAAGCTAACCGTCACCTAGCCATAGCATCTGATTTGGTGCACAGACATGAGAGTGGTATGGATCTATTCAGCTAACTGTTAGCAAGAAGGCGAATTAGTGTATTTTTAAACATTTGAGAGTGCCAGGCTAGCTGTTTCCCTCTGTTCCCAGTCTTTATGCTAAGCTAAGCTAACTTAACCATTCCATTTAGTGCACAGACATGAAAGTGGTATCTATCTTCTCAGCTAACTGTTAGCAAGAATGCGAAAAGCGTGTTTCCCAAAAAGTCAAACTGTGACTGCACATACTGTTGTTCTCCTCAGTAAAACAGTTGTTTGTAGTCTACTTTGCACACATAACAAAAAAAAAAGAAATATTTTCAAGCAATTTGGAAATGTTACAATTAAGTATAAACCCTCATCAGTATCAAAGTCTTGTGTTGCCACAGAGAATCTCTCTCCATGTGCAAGTCATGCTTTGAGCCCCGTTAACTTTCTTTCTCATGCTTCAGCGCTTTGTGCCTGTGATTGCGAGGCGAGATGCTGTGACATGAATGCCAATTAGTTCTGTGCGAACTGTTGAAAAGGCCTGCCCCGATGTAATTTACTCTCGCTCACATTGACTCAAAAGAAGAGTTGTACGCCAACACTGGCTGAGTCAGACACAGTTGAGGGGAAAAATGCACATTGTAAGCAAAGTCCAGCAATTGCTATGGTGCTGAAAGGCCTGACCTGCTATCACATGATAGTCATAACGTCAACTGAGGGAGGCAAACAAGGAGGAAACACAACACAGCTGAAGCACAGAGCAGGAGTTTTCTTTTGGTTTGTACAGACATCAACATACTGATGTTATCTGTTGTGTTATATGGCTTATTTTGCATGTTTTCAGCAGCTTAAACAACATCAAGTATTTAATAACTCCACATCTTACTCTGAGCACCCAGATTAGATTGTCTTACTGTGGCTTTAAGCTCCATCAGAGATCTGTCGTCGACTCCTCACTGCTATTTTTGTAGAACATCTAATTTAGTTCAGCAGAGTGTTACAGATTTTTTTTTTTTTTTTTACGAGACAGCGTGAGAGTTGAAGAAGGAAAACACTGCAGTTGCTGCTAATCAAAGATTCCTCAGATGTCCCGTCTCTGTTGCAGGCGTTGGCTTTGACAGAGATGCTAGTGTGCGCTGCTCGCTCGTTCACTCGCAGTCTGTGCTTCAGAGGAGGAGGAAGCTGAGGAGACGGAGGACTGTCGCCGGTGTTCCCCGACAGGTGCAGCAAGATTTAGGTACGTACCTCATCATGATCATCACACTCTTGCCTGTCTGTCACAAAGACTTAAAAAGATGGATGCAAAGTGTTAAAGTGAAATAAAAGTTTGTGTTATTTGCTGCCACTTAAATAAAAGGATTTTGTGTTCAGGGTGGCTGCAGGTCCTTAAAAAGTCTTAAACTGTAACTGTTGACATCCTGGTGTTAAAGGTCTAAATCACATTAATTGTAAAGACAGTGACACAATTGTATGTGTCATTTTGTGTTCAGATTTTATCCATGTCAGTAAACTGTAAAAGAAAAGCAGAATGATCAGCTTTATAGTACGTCAATGTAAATATGAGAGACGTCAGCTTGTGAGGCTTATTCTCAGTATTAGTGCGTTCTGCTTTTTAAGATATTTTGGGGCATTTCATGCTTTTATTAGCCAGGGGCGAGTGGAAAGATGACAGGAAATGAGAGGAGAAAGAGATGGGAAATGACATGCAATAGAAGTTCCCAGCCAGGCTTGAGCTGGGAACGTTGTAGACACTGAGATACAGAGAAATAAGTTTAAAGGGGTAGTTCAGATTTTTTTGAGTGAGGTTGTGTGAGGTTGTTCGCCTTAGTCATATGTTATGTTCTCCATCCATGCTCTCCTCAAAGCCACCAGACTCCATTAAGAAAAACACTAATTTAAGCTCACTGAACACAGGAGCTGCTGGACGGCCACTGCCTCATTTGTGAGTTTTTTTGTGTTACTGTGTGACTGTGTTGAATCCAAACTAACCCTTTAAAACACCAGTCACACAACACCACAAATAAACTCACTGATCGAGGCAGCAGTAGAGCAGCAGCTCCTGTGTACTGTGATGTGAAATTACTGTTTTTCTCAATGGAGTCTGGTCGGAAATCACACTGCTGAGCTCCCAAGGCAGTTCTCCTGCCTGCTTCTCCAAACTGGAGGCGTGCCGACCACCATTTTTATTCATTTTTTATTCTATAGCTGTATCTGAGACTTAATTTTTTTTGTAATGTTTAGTGTTTCTTTCTTCTTCCAGACTCTGATGACTCTCCTGGTTCCAGAGAGCGGACTGTGATAGTTCATGCCAGTCCCAACATCACTCCCTCCAACGAGGAGCTGGCCAGCCATCTCAGCACCAGAGACTCAGGTTGCCAGACAGAAGACTTTTTGATCTCAGGAGCGCCGTCTCGGAGGAGGATCAGGGCCCAGAGAGGCCAGGGAGTCTCCCTCTCCCTCTCCCACTCTGCAGGCAACATCTTGTGCCTGCCAGACAGCGCTGACGCCATGTTCTCCGCCTCTGTGGGTGCACGCCTGCGCTCCCGGAGTCTGCCCAGAGACGGGAGCCGGATGATAGACAACGGGCATCATGACAGCGACGACGATGAGGAGGAGCTCTCCCCCTTTAATGCTGAGGACTTCCTGCCGGGACCTGGAGAGTTGATTCTGAAGGATGAAGAAGAGAGCACGGATGATCAGGCCATGTCTGAACGCCAGCTGGGCCTCAAGTACACGCAGCTGTCAGAGAGTCCGGAGCGCAGCTGGATGGAGAGGACCAGATCCCAACTGCCCAGGAAGGCCGACATGGGCAGTTGTGAGATCTCATCCAGCTCGGACACCTTCAGTAGCCCCGTCCATTCTGTCTCAGCTGCGGGGGTGCTGGGAGGACAAATGGACCATAAGGAGGACCACCAGTCCTCGAGTGGGAACTGGAGCGGGAGCAGCTCCACCTGCCCCTCACAGACCTCAGAGACAATCCCCCCAGCAGCCTCTCCACCTCTGACGGGCTCCTCACACTGTGACTCTGAGCTCTCCCTCAACGCCGCCACTCACGCCAACGATGACCAGACTAGCTTCATGCTGGACCACTACCAGGGTCTCAGGACCCAGCGGGCGGGCTCCTTCTCCTCCACAGCTATGGACATATTAGAGGAAGCAGGGTCCAGCACTCCCATTGAGGGGGAGTGGAGTTACCCCCACTCTGACCCTGCACGCTCACAGGACTTCAGCCCTGAGCCGAGCAGAGAGGCTGAGAGCAGCCTGGGCTGCCCCAGCTTCACCAGCATGGCCACCTGCGAGAGCAGCTACTCTGACAAACCTCCGTCGGAGAAAGCCGACACCGTCTCACACTACTCCGTAGACACTGAAGGCTACTACACCTCAATGCACTTTGACTGTGGTATAAAAGGTAGCAAAAGCTTCACTTATAACTATGCAGCCTCGGGCTCTGATTGCGGCCTGTCTGACTCAAGTGGTCACATGACTCTGGGGAGGCGCTGCCTCTCTTTAAGAAAACCAAAGGCGAAGCCATGTCCGCCTAGGAGGAGTTCATCCTTAAGAAAAATATGCAGTGAGGGAAACATCCCTGACAATAAAGAACCAAAGATTTCGTGCGGGCAGCAACTTCCACTGTCTTCCAAGGATAGGAAACTGCAGCTGGTTTTATCCAGCTCTCAAAGTCATATAGAAAACTCTTCACTAGTCAGAGAGCCCCTTGTGGTGTGGGGGGAGTCAGCTGATCTACCTGACTTAGGCGTGTTTAGCTCCACAGATGCACATTCGTTTAAGGATGAGGGGGTTGTACAGTCAGACTATGCAGATCTGTGGCTCCTGAACGATTTAAAATCCAGTGACCCATACCGATCTTTGTCGAACTCTAGCACAGCAACAGGTACAACTGTCATTGAATGCATCAAGTCACAGGAAAGCTCCGAGTCTCAGACGTCCCAGTCCGACTCCAGAGCCACCACCCCCTCACTTCCATCAGTGGAGGGAGAGTTCAAGCTCAAGTCTCCAGAGAAGCTGGCAGGCCTGGCCAGCCCATCCAGCGGCTACTCAAGTCAGTCAGAAACCCCCACCTCCTCCTTCCCCTCCGCCTTCTTTCCTGGACCGCTGTCACCATCCAGCGGCAAGAGGAAGCCCAAAGTCCCTGAGAGGAAGTCCTCTCTTTCGTCGCTGTCACTGCAGTCGCTGTCCTCCTCCTCGAAGAGAGACCTGGAGCTGCCAGTAATCCCTCCAACCCACCTCGACTTAAGTGCCCTTCACAGTGTCAGCAGCAACAAGGCTTCAGCGTACAGGACGCAGATTCAGATGCTTCACCAAAACAAACAAAAAGCTGCAGTGACAGCCAAACCTGTCGCTGTTCCTAACTCAGAGGTGTTTAACGTCCACCCCATGTCCATCACACCCTCAGTGCTGCACTCAGTACAGCTCCGATCCATCAATAAGGAACATGAAGGAAGCCACGAGGACAAAACAACTTCCAGACTCAAATGTCCCACTGTGAACTTGACTAGCACTGTTTCCTGTAGTAAATCTGTAGAGCTCAAGAGTCCCCTGTTACACAACTCACATCACACGCCCGCCAAGGGGTCGTATGAGTCAGTGTTTACCTCAAACGAAGAGCTCACAGACGGAGAAGCAGCATGTCAGAAAGAGATGAGGAACAAGCAGGCTCCTTTAGAGAGCATGACGGCATTCACGCTGCAGTCAGAGCCGTCGTTAGACGTCCCTGAGAGGACCGCAGGTCATGAAGGAGAGGCATGCAGAGAGGTAGTAGAAACAGCTGTCTGCAGCTCGCAGTCGGAGCCTTTAGATCAGCAGAGAACTGAGCCGTCTGAAGAAGAAGCACCAGGTCTCTCTGTTCAGCAAAGTTCACCACAGAGATCCAACGGTCTTGATAAAGTGCCTGCTACTGACGGCCAATCAGAGGCGTTGCAAGAGAGCTCGATCAGTGATGACGGGAGCAGAGATGTGGAACATGAGTCGTCAGGTGCTTCAGCCGAGAGTGCCTCCCAGGACGGCAAGGAAGAGTCCACAGCAGAGACAGAGGATTACTTAAGTAAAGGTAGACACTCGCTGTTCACGCCATTCAGTCTCCGAGCATTTGCTAGTTTTATTGTCTTGTATTTACTTATTAGTTTTTGTTTGAATGTCTTTTCTCTTACTTTTTGCTGTCTCTCTCTGTCAGTTATGTCAGTTTCTTGCTCAGTATCAAGAATTACTTGTGAGCAGCCGACCAGTCCACTATGAAATTATCAATCTATAACGATATGTGGAGTAAAAACAGCTGGGAAACCCCTGATGTACAGGATCACAGATGTTGTAAACTGTGCAGAGCATGATCAATCTGAAGGGTCACATGAAGATTCACAGGAAAGAAAAAAAACATATGCAACACAAAATTGTGTATTTGTTTTTAAAGCTGCTGTTTTTTGACCTTTCCTTTGTTTCTGGTGTTTCTACGGCCCAGTCACCAGAGGGAAATGTTATAAATGTTATATAAGCTAATTTTTGTCATTGTGGAGGGGACAGCGGATGGCGTGTCACCTAAATCAGTGGTTTTCCAAAGGGCAAGCCAAAATCTCAGAGCACACCATTTGAGAACCATGGATTTAAGTGACACTGTTCAAATCCAATCCGGTCGTTTTTTGGTCACGACATTTCCCAGCCGCATTTCTCCCACCAAACCTCAGTGTTTTTCACAGACCCGTCTCTGCTTTTCCAGCAACTTTTGTGCCACCGAACGTGAATTTTTTTATGCTGAAACATGATCTTTTCCTGACTTTAACCAATTATTTTTGTGCCAAAACTGAACGTGTTTATTTCCGTTAGCAGACTCTTCACCCAGTGACAACGCAGTGTCCCCTCTGAGTGATGAGTCAAGGCCAGACGATGACAGCGTGTTTCTGTCCCCCACCAAGGCTCGGACCACTGAGGATCTGTTCGCTATGATTCACAGGTGAGCACATAAGAGCCACATTTCAAGTGAGAAGGAGGACGTCTGGAGCAATTGGGGTTTACAGTGCATTGCCGCAGGGCACCTTGGTGGTGCCCAGGAGGTGAACTGGCACAAAACTTCCATTGTCTTTAGCTGTGAGAGAGTGTCAGACTCAAGTCATTAAAAAGTTTCTCCAAACTCTTCTAGTGTGTGGCCAACATTAGTCACATCTACAACAGTTAACAGAGATTCTTAATTTCTTCATTTCCAGGTCCAAAAGGAAAGTGTTGGGCAGGAAGGATTCCACTGAGCTGAATGCGAGGAACCGGCTCAGTGCTGCGTTGGGGAACACGCCACCCAGCAGCACCGTGAGCTCCCCCGTCTCACTGGTGTCCCCCTCCTCTGCTGTCACCCCACCAGGCCTGCATAGAGTCTCCGGTCCCATCTACAGGAATGCAAAGAAGTCCAGCACCTCCAACGAGGAATTCAAACTCCTGTTGCTCAAAAAGGGCAGTCGATCCGAGTCAAGTTACCGCATGTCAGCGACAGAGATCCTCAAGAGCCCCATCTCTTCTAAATCTCCTGGAGACTCCCTGATGGAGTCGCCAAGACAGCCCGAGGAGCCCGCCTCTCCCCTGCAACATCAGCAGCACCAATCAGGACCAGATCAGCTCTCCAGTCCCTATCCCAAAGCCAACGCTGAGGGCTTCTCCCCGAAATCCTTCTCCACATCCGCAGCTTCCAGGCAGGGCCGCTCCAGAATCCCCCCACCCGCCAACAGCAGCCGATACGGCATGCGCAGCAGACTGTACTCAGCGCCCATGCAGGCGATCTCTGAGGGCGAGACAGAGAACTCAGACGGGAGTCCTCATGACGACCGCTCATCACAGGGCTCCACGTAGGAAACAGAGTAGAGGTGTCGGAAGGTATGAAATTATTTTGTTAGTTTACAGTGGAAAAAAAAAACAAAATGGACCAGAATGAGTTCTAATATATATGAGATGTGGTGAGGTTAATGTTAACGTATGCTGAACAGTAGGGATTTTGTTTAAGAAAATAATCATGAATTTACTAATTGTGGCTGAGTTTTATAGATGTTTCCTTTTGGTTATTCTGTGGATACTTTAAACACTTTTACCTGTGTTCAAAAATATTTTATACACACAGTAGCTCTAAAGAAATATTCTCATAATCTGAACACGGAGCATTAGAAACAGGGAACCAGCTTAGTTAGAAACATATAGAAATCATAAGCAAAACATTTTACAGAAAACTACTCTTGGGTTAGTTTGTGGCACAAACACATACAACTGGTTGCCTTTAGTCCTGCTATAGTATATTAAAGGGATAGTTTGTCTCTTTTGAAATAGGGCTGCATGAGGCACTTATACGTAGTCAGTGTGTTACCTACAGTAGATATCGGTCGGCACACTCCAGGTTGGAGAAGCAGACAGGAGTACTGACACAGAAGCAAAGCAGTGTACTGCTGTGGACAGGGGCAGCAGCAAAACGTATTTCAGCCACCTAAAATATTCAATGTCAGTTTAAGTGTGCAGTATTTTTAGAGTCACTGCCAACGGGGGAATGTTAACAGCTTCACTTTCCCATCTATGCTCTCTTCAAAGCCACCAGACTCCATTGAGAACAACAGTAATTTAACATCACTGAACACAGGAGTTGCTGGTCTACTGCTGCCTTGATCAGTTAGTGTGTTTGTGTTACTGTGTGACCTTGGTGCATCTGAACTAACCAAAGTCACAAATTAACACTAACTAACTAACCAATTGAGGCAGCGGTAGACCAGCAGCTCCTGTGTTCAGTGATGTTAAATTACTGTTTTTCTCAGTGATGTCTGGCTTAAGTTCCCCCTGAGAGATGAATGTCTGACAGTAAAGAGAGATAGCCCTGGTCTCAGTCTCACTCCCAACTAATCAAAAACTGAGGTTTGGTCGGCGGCTCATCGGCGTCAGACGCTGACACACTGAGGCACCCTTTAGTGGTGTTATGAGATGCCCCGGGTGGCAGCATCCATCAAGCGTGAGAAAGTTGACTTGGAGCAGACAGGAGGGGAGGTGAGGGGAACTTATGGTACTCTGTATTTACCCAGGAGACCGCCGTTCATGTCCCGTGTGAAACCAAAAGTCAATCAAGTTATTTTGAAAACAACATAGGGTGCTAGTAGTTGTAGCATGCTAGTGATGTATACTATATAAAGTTAGTAACAAACGTACTTATTTGCTTTTGTTGACTAAACATGAGGAAGAAAACCTACAAACAAAAGTTTTTTAACCTATATTCAAAGTTTATTTTGAAAAAGACTATGCATTGAATGCGCAAAAACTGTGCATTTCCTGTGAAAACAGAAGTTTATTTTGAAAAGAGATGAGCGTGAATCGACACGCTGCCCCTGAACATCCAAAACTGAGGCAGGAGGGTCATATGTTGACATGGCAGGCCACTGACAGAGCATTTGTATTTGATGAGCTGTGAGTGAGAGTGTGTTTTTCTGTCTGCTTCTCCAAACTGTTGCTGTGCCGACCGCCTTCTCCTGTAGGTAACACACTGACTGTGGTTCAGTACCGCATACAGCCCCTCTTCAAAAAGCCCAAACTGTCCCTCTAATGTTAAATATTAGTCAGATTTCTCTAGCATTTTGAAGCAACTCTCACAGTTTGACATTTATATCTTGTAAAAATAGAATATATTAGATTACCTGTATGTATTCTGTGAATACCTATGCAACTAGACACACACACTTTTAACATGTCTTCAAGCCAGTTATAGAAATAACTTTTGATACTCCCTCACTGATCATCAGGACAAACACTGTGTGAGAAACAGCAGTGGAAATAAAATGTGAAGCCTCAAAGCATCTCTTCATACTGATGACATGTTTGTATATTTTACACAGTCCTTTTAACAGCGTGCTGTAAATTACATCAAAGATAGATTACTGCTACGACATTTTAAAATTCTCACGCAATAAGATGAGTAATTAGAGGTGAGACAGGAAACGTCAAAGCCAAGCACTAACTCGACAATCTTAGGAGACGTGAAGGGAGCAGGTGTTTAAACATGGGAGACGAAAAAGTGATCAAAAAGTCAGAGGTGGGGAAACAGGAGGGCTGTAAAAGAAAAAAGGAGGATCATGGAGTTTTTTAAAAACGTGATAATGGTCATTTCTGGTTTGCTGATTCAGTGCGTTTATGAATCGTTGAAAGGGGCAGAAAGTGGAAAGTGTTCAGGAGGATCAAATATGCCTTATTTTAATCTTAACAAGAGACAGTAAGTGACGAAGCAGCGAGAGCCTCAGCAAGTGGAGTGTTAGTGAGATTCTTTTGATGGAGGATGAAGGGGTAGGTTATCATTCTGGATTTAGGGATGTGGCATTTGCTACTGTTTCGTACCAAATGCTCGTCTTTTGGTACAGAGCCCGACTGATACTCGATTTTTAAAAACTATGTACATACGCATGTGTCCAATTACTCCTCAAGTTTAACAATAAACTTAATTGTCAAAAATTATAAGCTTCATTGGGTATTTAATAACACTGAATAAGGAAAACTTTTCATATCAGTGCATATTGGACAACATATATGCTGATACCAATATGTCAGTATTCAGTATCTATATGTCGGTCGGGCTCTACTATTTTATTCCCCTTCAAAAATATAACCTGCCACGGTTTTGTATTTTCTGTCGCAACAATCTAAATATATTTATTTTTATAAATGATGCAGAAAATCTCCGTACACTCCCTGATTTGGTTTACACCTTTAGATAAACTAAAAATGACATTTTAAATGCAATGAATTGCTGGAATAACGTATTTTATTCAGATAGTTATTTTATTAATAAGAGACGAATACATTTTTAATCTTATTTCAGACACTGAAACACTGAGACAAATAGGAAAGCAACTCCTTAGTGTCATTAGAAGATGGCATGAGCAGTCATAAGCTACAAGTGTACTGAGCTTGAACAGTGACGGGAAGTTCTGGCATTGAAAGGTAGAATTTGGCGTTGAAAAGGGAAACACGGGCATTAAAACAGATTTTTATTTTTAGAAAAAGACAGACGACTTGTTGCTCTGTATGTCCTCCTGAGACCCCGTGTCCTCATATGATTACGTGACCTTTCACCTGTTGTCCTCAATTGTGGACACGTTTTGTGCCATCTAGTGGTAGTAAGAGCACAATACACTAATCCATGTAAAACCAAGATGGCGGCCATCTCTGCCAAGTCAGTCTGCAGCTGATCCTGACAGAAAAGTGGACAAGGTCCAAAACCTGATCACATTTTATGGTTGAAACGTGTTTATTTATGATTAATAATGTTCGTAGTTTGATATGACAACAAATTTGACCAATTTAAATACATTGGGAATTTATTATCGTTGACGTTTCATTTTATATACTTATGAGGTCCCACTGATCCCAAATAGCTTGGAGAAATTAAAAAAGCATACCAAACAAAAGTTCATGTCTCAAGAGGATATACAAATGTAGATCAAAACCTTGTGTCAGGTGCTCGTGGAGAACGGGAAACAACTGGATTGACAGGAAGACAATTCATGCACTCCGAAAAATATGTAAAAAAAATTACCACTGCAGGTCTTCAAATGTTTTTAAAGCCCTGACAAATTCCTGCAGTGGTCGAATAATGTTGGCTCTTTAAATGATTTAGCCTCTACAACAAAGGCTTTTTAATATTTCCCTGCTTTTTGTATATTTTTTCGGAGTGCCTGGATTGTCTTCCTCGCAATTTTTGTTTTTATTTTTATTCTGGAGTCATTCTTTTTGTCATTGTCAGTTTTTCTCTACACCAAAACAGTGACAGAAAGTTGAAACTGAAAAGAATAGACTGAAAAAAAAAACAGCCGTCATTGTAAAAACCTCCGAAACAATCAGAATATTGTTACTGGAAAACATCAGAATGCAAAAAAATATCAAAATAAAGTCATTTTCAGTGCCTGTGTTTTATTTTTCTGTATCAAAACTTACTGTCACTGCTGCAGCTCCATACTAGTGAGGTTTAGTTGTAACCCTGGCACTCTTCGTCCCACGTATTCACAATAGTATTATAAGTATATAGATGCAGCGATGGTGCTCAGCCATTATGCAAAAGTATCTCTGTAGCCATATTTCTTCCCTTTAGGTACACTGTAAATATCAACTTCATTTTGGCCTTAATGACACTCCGTACTGATGCAACGTCATGTAACAGGGTACACAAAGGGTTACGTCTGTGAACCTTCATTCCAACCTTCTTTCTTTCTTTTTCTTTTTCTTTTTTTTTTTTGCACTGATAAAGTGATGTTTGTGAAGTTTCATCTGTCTCTTGCTGTACCTGGAGATATTTATAGACCTTTACATGGAGCTGTTTGACTTTCCTTGAATAATATCCACACTCTGAGTACGCTTTAGGAGTGGAGTAGATGCTTCTGCCAAAGGCTAGGACGTGCACACGTTAGCAGCATCAAACTGTTTATCTCTTCTCGTTTACTTGACTGAAACAGATACTAAAGAAGAATCACAGTAACTTATGGTACTAGATGCATTTCATTTGGACTTCACATCGACCTCTGCATACTGTAGGTTTCAGCTTTGTATTTTTTTTTCTTTGTACAAACGTGTAAATACAATAACTTTTGGAGATGTCACAGAGGTTGTTGAATTGTTTCTTCTGTAAAAAAAAAAAAGTTTACATTGATTTCAAACCTTTGTATATTTTTGAGCTGTGGAACACTTTGTCTTGTATTTATTTTTTAGTAAGCATTGTGGAAATCCCATAGTAAATCCTATCAAAGCCAAGTGCTAGCACAACAGGCTGCTTAGCAAATGTGTATAAGAAGACAAATAAATGTGACTGCCTTGAAAATGACTCATTGGGTCTGTGGTGATGTTCTGTGTTTTTATTTTTAAGGTTTGTGACCATAACATGCATTTCTGTAGCTCTTGTTTTGTAAATATCTTTTTCTTTTTCAACATAAAACTGCACATTTTGGAGTGAGTCAGCACGCCCCCTGGTGTCACAACATTGGCTGGGCTCAGCCTTAGAGATAGGGTGAGGAGACATCTGTCCGGAGCTCGAAGTAGAGCTGCTGCTCTTTTGCGTCAAAAGGGGTCAGTTGAGGTGGTTCAAGCATCTGATCAGGATCCTCCAGGGCGCCTCCTGTTAGAGGTGTTCCGGGCATGTCCCACTGGTAGGAGGCCCCGGGGCAGACCCAGAACACACTGGAGAGTTTATATAAAAGCAGCATGCCACACTACACAAACTGTTTAGAAATGGCCTGTGGAGCGTGACAAAAAGCTCAAGGTGTGGACCTGGCTTCTAAATTTCCCAGGTCCCAATCTGCTCAAGGATTCTTGTGATGTGCTGGTACCCCAGATGTACCCTAATCCAAGGTGGGGCCTCCTTGGATCAGACTTGGCTCTGACCTGTGGAGGCATGGACACAGGATCTCTGGGAGTGTCCTGCGGTGTCTGGCACCAGTGCGTTGGCGGCAGATCCATTTAGTCCAGTGGGTTGTGAGGTGGGTTAATGGCACGTGCCACAGATGCTCATTCAGATTGGGATCTGGGGAATTTGGTGGCCAGGTTGACACTTTGAGCTTTGTGTCTCGCTCCACAGGCCATTTCTAAACAGTTTTTGCAGTGTGGCATGGTGCATTATCCTGCTGGGGGGCCACTGCCATTGGGGAGTACTGTTGCCATGAGGGGGGGTACTTGGTCTGCAACGGTGTTTGAGTGGGTGGAACATGTCAG